AATTACTCCAAAAACTGTCACCACAGGTCTCTCTCTGGTCTATCTCTGGTCTATCTCTGGTCTCTCTCTCTGGTCTCTCTCTGGTCTCTCTCTGGTCTCTCTCTGGTCTCTCTCTGGTCTCTCTCTGGTCTCTCTCTCTGGTCTCTCTCTGGTCTCTCTCTCTGGTCTCTCTCTCTGGTCTCTCTCTCTGGTCTATCTCTGGTCTATCTCTGGTCTCTCTCTCTGGTCTCTCTCTCTGGTCTATCTCTGGTCTCTCTCTGGTCTCTCTGGTCTATCTCTGGTCTCTCTTTCTGGTCTCTCTCTGGTCTCTCTCTCTGGTCTCTCTCTCTCTCTGGTCTCTCTCTCTGGTCTCCCTCTGGTCTCTCTCTCTGGTCTCTCTCTGGTCTCTCTCTCTGGTCTCTCTCTCTGGTCTCTCTCTCTGGTCTCTCTCTGGTCTCTCTCTGGTCTCTCTCTGGTCTCTCTCTGTTCTGCATCTGACCAATGTTTAATGTTAAAGTATTTATGTCAGATTTAGTCCCATCGTAAATGCAGTTTAGTAAAACACATTGTTACAGCCCTACACGTGGCTCTGAGAAGGGGAAAGGAAATGCAACATACACAACCAGGTGTAATTGGCGAAAGTAAATGGCCTTTTATTTCTAGGCAGAAAAGGTAACGTCCTGGACAAAACTTAGAGTCAGAAAACTAAACAAAAGGGGTTCATTCGACAGGTAACAAATCACAATTCTAATAAGGTCTCGTAAGGTCTCGTACGGTCATGTAAAGTCTCTCAAAATGTGTCAGCTCTCCACCACACGTCTGTCTCTCAAGGCTGGCGCACTTGTATTGGAAACAAGCCGCCCCGTCCGGACGTCGCACCGCTGTTTTATTGGCCGCGGGCAGGTCAGCTGGTGGCGCAGATTGGTTCGGGCGGAGCTCCTATTGGCCATACAGGAGGACTCCGGGCGAATGGCAGCATCCGGGAGGCGGGCCCTAGACTTCGCGGGAACGAGCCGGACACACAGACAAGAGAGAGGCACCGGGAGAGGGAGGGGGTGCTTGCGCAAAACGGCCCAGACCTGGAGCCGTAACACCCCACCCCTCAAGACACTGTCCACCCTAACATTTTTTCTTTGAACAAAACAAACATCAGAACACAGACAAATTTATGCAGCCACCACACTTATCTGGATAAGGCATCGGCAAACACATTCTCCGATCCCTTTTTATGTCGAATCTCTAACGGAAAGTCCTGCACCATCAAGGCCCACCGCATCAGTCTCTGGTTGTGATTATACATGCGGGACAAAAAGGTTACAGGGTTATGGTCGGTAAACACCATGATTGGCACAGAACTGGACCCAAGGTACACTTCGAAGTGCTGGAGAGCGAGCAACAGTGACAAAGTCTCTTTTTCTATGGTGGAGTAGCGGAGCTGGTGTGTATTAAACTTTCGGGAGAAGTAACATACCGGATGGGTAACACCACTCGCATCCTCCTGCATCAGGACCGCACCTGCACCGACCCCACTAGCGTCCACTTCAAGCTTGTAGGGGCGCAACGGGTCAGGAGCAGCGAGGACAGGTGCATGGCACAGCAGAGACTTGACGCTGTCAAAAGCCGACTGACACTCAGTAGTCCATTTAAAATCAACTTTAGGACTCAATAAGGTGGTCAGCGGGACAACCACTGATGAGAAATTTCGGCAGAAACTTCGGTAGTACCCAGCCATGCCCAGGAAGCGGCGCAGCTCACGCCGAGTGGTGGGAGGCGGATAGGAGTCTATCGCGGAAACTTTAGCCTCAATAGGTCGGACTTGGCCCTGGCCAACCTCACGTCCCAAATATGTAACGTGAGCCTTCCCGAACTCACATTTAGCGAGGTTTAGGGTGAGTGAGGCAGCTGCCAATCTGGAAAACACCTGCTGTAGGACGTGTACGTGTTCCTTCCAGGTAACGGAGTGGATCAATAAGTCGTCCAGATAGGCATTACAACTGGGCAGGCCCTGTAGAACGACATTAATCAGGCGTTGAAAAGTTGCGGGAGCGTTGCACATTCCAAACGCCATCACGGTATATTGCAGGAAGTAATCAGGCGTTACAAACGCAGATATTTCCGACGCGCGCTTAGTCAGCGGGACTTGCCAGTAACCTTTCAATAAATCCAATTTAGTGACGTATTTAGCAGGACCCAGATTGTCCACACAATCCTCCATGCGGGGCATGGGATATGAGTCAGGGACAGTGACAGCGTTAACTTTACGGAAATCCGTGATGAAGCGAGGCGAGCCATCAGGTTTTTCTTCCACCAAACAGGGAGAACTCCAAGCGCTAGTGCTATGTTTAGCCAGACCATTGGCCAATAAATACTCAGCCTCCTGCTTCATCAGCGCGCGTTTTGTGGGGTTCACCCGATACGGATGCTGGCGAATGGGACGCGCGTCCTTCACGTCTACGTCATGTGCCAATACATTGGTGCAACTTGGTACGTCCCCAAACAGACATCTGAATCGTCCCACTACAGCCAGAACGTCAGCCTGCTGATCAGCGCTCAAATGCTTCAGTTGGGCAGGTAAAACCGTAAGCATTTCAGAGTTCGGGAGACGCGGACTATGCTCCTTATAATGCATCGGTTTTATATAGCGCTTTTTTGGACACTCAAAGACGCTTCACATGTGTCATTATTCATTCACTCCACACACGGTGGTGATAAACTACTACTGTAGCCACAGCTGCCCTGGGGCACACTGACAGAAGCGAGGCAACCAGTATGTGCCATCGGCCCCTCCGACCACCACCAACCATTCACACACACATCAGACTCATTCTAGGCAATGGGGGTGAAGTGTCTTGCCTAAGGACACAATGGCAGTTTGGCACTTTACAGCCGCAGCCGCCCCACTGTGGCTGGTGTTCCCAGAGGTTAAGTGTCTTGCCAAGGACACAACGACAGTAGTCAGTGGGGGTCGATGGTGAAAGTCTTGAGCGGGGCTTGAACCCACGACCTTCTGGCTCAAAGGCCAACGCTCTACCAACTGAGCTACTGCCGCCCAGTCTTACGCATCTTCAGTCCGCTCTCAGCGGTCTGGTCAGCCACAATCAGAGCGGAGACACACTGAAGGGAGGGCACCGCCGTGGTCGGTGTAACGCGGGAGTGATACTGCTTCAACATATTAATGTGGCACACGCGGGTTTTTCGCCTCCTGTCCGGCGTGTTGATAATATAGTCGGTATCAGACAGTTTCTCATTAACCACATAAGGACCGGTATATTTAGCAGAGAGCGTGTCCCCCTGCACGGGTATCAAAACGAGCACCTCATCTCCCGCTTTGAATGAGCGAGCCAGCGTCCTCTTATCAAACTGACGCTTCATTTTTGCCTGTGCAGTCTGTAGGGCAGCCCTAGCGAGTAAATTTGCTTTCAGTACGCGCTCACGGAATGTGCTTACGAAATCTAAAACATTGGCTGTGGTGGGTGGAGAAAGAAAAGTCTCCTTCAGCGCTTTGAGCGGGCCCCGGGGAGTGTGGGCAAATATCAACTCAGCGGGGCTGAACCCCAAAGACTCCTGAGTCGCATCCTGGGCTGCAAACAGCACGAACGGGATCCCTTGATCCCAATTTCTTTCAGTTTCCATACAGTACTTGCGCAGCATGGATTTAAGCGTCTGGTGCCAACGCTCCAGAGCACCCTGTGACTCAAGGTGATACGCGCTGGACAGAACATGTTTTACCCCAAGTGTCTGAACCACTTGTGCAAACAGGTTAGACTTGAAATTCGCTCCCTGGTCTGTCTGTATGATTTTTGGGAGTCCAAAGACTGAAAAGAATTTCAACAACGCCTTGACTACGGATTGCGCAGTGATTTTACGCATCGGGATGGCCTCTGGGAAACGCGTGGCAGCACACATTATAGTGAGTAGAAATACATTACCATTCTGTGTGCGGGGCAGAGGCCCTACACAGTCAACTATGACGCGGTCAAAAGGCTGATCAATAACAAGTATGGGATGTAAAGGAGCTGCTAGGATTGGCTGATTGGGCTTTCCCACCATCTGACACACGTGACAGCTGCGGCAAAACTCGGCCACGTCCTTCTTCATCCCAGGCCACACAAACTGTCTTAACAGCGATTTGTAAGTCTTTGTAACTCCTAGGTGACCCGACCACAAGCTTTCATGTGCCACTGCTGTAATCTGATCACGGTAGCAGGAGGGCACAACTATTTGGTAGACCGCAAACACATTGTCATGGGTGACGTGGGGAGACCATTTACGCATTAACACACCCTCGCGCAAGAAGTAACAGATCTGAGCTTTGTCACATTGTTCGCTACTCACCACACTGGAAACCAAGTTGTGTAACGTTGGGTCAGATCTCTGCTCCGCAATGAGCCGCCCACGTGAACAAGGCAGAGCCGGGTTGTCAATTTTTGGAGACGCGGCCTTCCGCGGAGTCGAGCTTTGGGAAGCCTGGGTCTCAGCTGTAGGCACAAAATCTGCTGAAATGTCAGATAAAAATGTGTCAGACAAACTAACATCATTTCCGATATTACGGCGGGCTTGGGCACGCGTAACCGCGCACGCAGGATAAATCTCAGTAGAGCAAATATCCATACTGTCCAGCGGGGAATCAGCCACTTCCAAGGGTGGAGTTACCAGGCCCCCGGCCACATCATTTCCCATCAACATGTGAATCCCTGGAATTGGCAACGCGTTGCAAACAGCAACGGGAAATGTCCCTTTTACGAGTTTGGACTCGATGTGCACCAAATGTACTGGCTGCGGGCAGTAACCCATTTCTATTCCCCGTAGCACAGTTTTGTACGCGCACGAGGACTGCTCAGAAAAGGGGAGAGCACTGGCTAAGATTAACGTCTGAGACCCGCCAGTGTCTCTCAAAATGCGGATGGGTCTTTGATCAGGTGCGTTGCCAGTCAGAGAAACTATTCCGTCAAAGATGAATGGGTCAAAACACGAATCTGGGTCTTGGCAGGTGCTAGGAGCTAGGCTAACCTCAGTTTTGATTAGCCCAAGACCTTTAGGTTTAGGAGAGCCTGGTCTGCGTCTGAGTACAGGACATGTGGCAACAAGATGCCCAGCAGTGCGACAGTAGTAGCATTCCCTTTCGTCCGGGCCCGTCCTGTCAGTCCTCGGAGAAGTAGGCCTAGGAGCAGGTGCGCGAGGCCTGTCAGGCCCGCCTCCAAATATGGATTTGTGAGTCAGCACAAATTTGTCAGCTAAAACAGCAGCATCCGAAATGGTCTTCACCTTCTGCTCATTTAGATATACCACAACACGGTCCGGGAGGCTTCTCTTAAAATCCTCCAGCAACATAAGGTCACGTAACGAAGCAAAACTCTGAGCTTTAGCAGACGAACACCACTTGGTGACCCCACTCCCAAAAATAACAATTGTAAACCGCTTTGAGACTCCGATGTGCAGTGAAAAGGCGGTATATAAATAAAGATTACTACTACTACTTGTCAAATAACATTCCTTTCTCCCTCGCAAACTCAATGTAGGTATGGTTTTGGGCCCTTTTATGGCTTCGGAACCTTTGCCTGTAGGCCTCAGGGACCAGCTCATATGCCCTTAGTATGGCGCTCTTGACTGCTTCGTACCGCAGACTGTCAGCAAGAGGCATGGCTGCAATGATTTCTTGGGCTTTCCCGTACATTTTACATTGGAGCAAAAGAGGCCAAATATCGCGTGGCCAGTTTAATGCCGAGGCGATGCGCTCGAATGCAGCAAAATATGAATCCACTTCTCCCTCTCTGAAGGGGGGTACAAGGGGAATAAATTTACTTACATCGAGGGCGCCGCCGTGAACGGATGGGGAGTGGGCTGCAGCCTGCGCGGTGGGTCCAGGGCCGGGAGTAGGACTGGGAGGGAGACGACCTTCAGCCTCCAGCTCAAGGCGGCGCAGTTTGACGTCTTTGTCAGCCTCTATCTCGAGCTTGCGCACCTGAAATTCGAGCTCGGCACTGCGGTCCCGTTCCTTCTGCTCAGCTTCCATTTTAATGCGGGCCAGGCGCACAGCGCGTCGGGCAGCATCCAAGGACCGAGGAGAGGTGGGAGGAGAGTGTGGGTCATACCGGGGGAGGGTGAACTGTGGGTTAGGCGGTTCATCAACCCCCGCGCCCGCTCTCTTTGTCCCAGGGGGAGAACCATCTGAAGGTCCAGGTTTCTCCTCCCGCTTTGGGGTTCCCGCAGGCACGATACTCTCATCAGTCCCCTCAGAAGCCACTGGTTGCGAGAGCAGGCCCAACTCCACCAAGCCATCCACAAGCAGCGCCCGGATCTCGTCCTTTCTGCTCTGTTTGGAATATAAAATATTAAAATGCACAGCAAGTGCTATGAGGTCTTTCTTTTTACATTTGTTCAACTCCTCAAGGGAAGGCTCTTCCACGAAGGCCTCGAAGTCAAACACCATTTTGAAAATGCCCAAATACAATTCACCTTCACTTACCCAAAGTAAATGTCCATTCACTGTTGTCGGGAACGTTTTAAACAATATCCCGGACGAGCCCCCAATATATGTTACAGCCCTACACGTGGCTCTGAGAAGGGGAAAGGAAATGCAACATACACAACCAGGTGTAATTGGCGAAAGTAAATGGCCTTTTATTTCTAGGCAGAAAAGGTAACGTCCTGGACAAAACTTAGAGTCAGAAAACTAAACAAAAGGGGTTCCTTCGACAGGTAACAAATCACAATTCTAATAAGGTCTCGTACGGTCATGTAAAGTCTCTCAAAATGTGTCAGCTCTCCACCACACGTCTGTCTCTCAAGGCTGGCGCACTTGTATTGGAAACAAGCCGCCCCGTCCGGACGTCGCACCGCTGTTTTATTGGCCGCGGGCAGGTCAGCTGGTGGCGCAGATTGGTTCGGGCGGAGCTCCTATTGGCCATACAGGAGGACTCCGGGCGAATGGCAGCATCCGGGAGGCGGGCCCTAGACTTCGCGGGAACGAGCCGGACACACAGACAAGAGAGAGGCACCGGGAGAGGGAGGGGGTGCTTGCGCAAAACGGCCCAGACCTGGAGCCGTAACACACATGTCTTACCTGTTCTGTTGATGGTTGAACCATGGATCCAGAGTAACATGGTCTTTCTCTCCACACAGATCCTCAGTGTCCAGTGCTGTGTCCCTGAAGAGTGACTGGTCTATGGACAGACCACCAAACTTCTGGTCTAAGGGGAGACCACCAGAGTTCAGTCTTGAAGCTGCTTCTTCAAAACCACAGTGAGAACAAAGGAAACACTAACACTGATCTGACTTTAGATTACATTTATATTTAAAGTTTACGACTGGACAGAGTGAGGCTTAGTCATAGAATCACCAGTGGATTAAACATGAACATCACATGTGAAAAGAGGGTTCATGGTCCATGACCATGGAACGTGTGTATTTTAGTAATGTGCTTTTGTGAAATAAAGTGTATATTGTTGCACATTTGACCTTGTAGTGAGAGCTGCATGTGCTCATGGTGCTTCAGTCTCATCACAGTGGTCTGTACCATGCTTTAGGATCCAGTGTTTAGGAGGTGTTCTCTGCTGTGGGACCCCCGCACCAGAAAACATACAGAACCATTGATCCTGGAGCTGTGTAGACACAGATCAGAAGGTACCATCTGACCACAGCTACACTACAAGGTCAAACACACAACAACATCACCTTTACTACACACAAAGTCTCATCAATGTTATTTATATACTTTTAATAAACCATTACAGCTCTAATGGGGCACAGTGGCTGAGTGGATAGCACTCTCGCCTCTCAGCAAGAAGGTCCTGGGTTCGAATCCCGGTCGGACCAGGGCCTTTCTGAGTGGAGTTTGCATGTTCTCCCCGTGTCTGCGTAGGTTTCCTCCGGGTACTCCGGTTTCCCCTACCACTAAAAATATGCCCAATAGTTCTGGCATGTGCCTCCTGTACTGGCCCCGCTCCCATCTCTGTGTGGAGTGAGAGACAAATGCCCAAAAATTAACAATTGTAAACTGCTTTGAGACTCAGATCTGCAGTGAAAAGGCGGTATATAAATAAAGATTACTACTACTACTACTACTAATATCCAATGTTTTTGTCCAGAGAAAAGTCACGGCTGGACTCCAGCCCCAGGGCCCAAGACCTCAGGGCCCAAGACCTCAGGGCCCAAGACCTCAGGGCCCAAGACCTCAGGGCCCAAGACCTCAGGACCCAAGACCTCAGGGCCCAAGACCTCAGGGCCCAAGACCTCAGGGCCCAAGACCTCAGGACCCAAGACCTCAGGACCCAAGACCTCAGGACCCAAGACCTCAGGACCCAAGACCTCAGGACCCAAGACCTCAGGACCCAAGACCTCAGGGCCCAAGACCTCAGGACCCAAGACCTCAGGGCCCAAGACCTCAGGACCCAAGACCTCAGGACCCAAGACCTCAGGGCCCAAGACCTCAGAGCGACACAAGGTTTGTCTGTTTCCCTGTTTATGACCAGAGGTAGAAAACACACAATGCACTCAGTTCAAAGAACTGTTGTTACTTTGTAATTGTTTTACTGCAGTAAATGTTTCTCCATCTAACGTTGAGATCATATTTTACAGTCAACTCTGGAGCGCCACGCAGTTAAAGTAGCAACGATATTAGTATCACCTGTGAGATCACAAACTCGATCCTCACGTCCTTTTTGTCTCTTATGTTTGTGTGTGTTTGAAGATGGTGCATTCACACGGAGCCACTTCCAGCCTCATGGACATTTATAGGTCACATTCTAAGCCTTTAACAACTATTCACAAATATAGTGGAGGAGAATATTCTTAAGGTCTCATTTAGATGTTTTTCATTTGGAACAAGTGTAAAAATACTGAGTCTGTACCTTTAACATCTCCTCAATTATAGAAACATTTCCTCCTGTTTAATCTGAATATAACGATACGTGGACAAACCAGTCTGACACCTGCTCCTGAAAGTATTCCACCTCTTTCACTTTTATATCATTTTCAACAGTGAAGCACGATATATTGGTATAAATATCGATATCAGCCGATGTTCATCAATCCATGTTCAGGCTTGCTAGTGGATACTCGATTACAGAACTATAAATCATCTTTATGAAACACAACAATATTATTATAGCATGAAATGTACCACTTTTAATACTATGTTAAACCTTATCTAGTTTTTAATGTCCCGTCAATTATTATTGGTGACTATTTATTCTTGTCTATTTTTATCCATGACTCTTTTTATAACTACTACATACGCTGCATTAAAGATAGTTTTCACTCAAAATAAGAGCCACAAAAAGCTCCTGTGTGCCTTTTCCCACATCGCCCATTCTAACTAAAATAAAATACATTCTGAAAACAGAGGAATAAATTCAGTATGTACAAACTTTTATCATCTCAGAATTATTATTATTATTATTTTAAACACATCGTTATCAGCAAATACTGGTTTTCGGCCATAACAGAAACATTAATATCGGATATCAAAATCGGCCAAAGTGTTCATATCGGTGCATCCCTGATTTTCATTTCTACAGCTGTAATCTCAACGGTTTTCATTTTCCTGTCAATCTACTCGGAATACTCTATGACAAAGTTTAAGATGTTTTTTAGGATTCTTTGCCGTTTGGTTAAGAATCAAACACAAAGAATCCCATGTACATAAGTGTTCAAATAGTCCAAACTGCATGAAGGTGGTTGAGTACTTTCTGGATGCACTGTGCCACTAAAGCTGAAGTAAACTCTGCTGAGACTTACATCTTTCACAGATAAAAGGAGACTCTGGAAACAGGGGAATAAGCTCTAAATGAAACATGCTGAATAGAAGTAATATAAAAGAAACACATGATTAAACTGTTACATCTGCATTCCTCTCACAGAAGAAGAGCTCCAGAAGCTTCTGCAGGATCATAAACGGCGTCTGATCAGCAGATGTGGGAGTGTGGCCGAGGGAACAGAAGGAGCAGGAAGTACTCCTCTGAACAGCATCTTCACTGAGCTGTACATCACAGAGGGCCTCAGTGACACCACAGCCCAGCATGAGGAGCAGAGGCTGAGGGAACTCTCCAAGAAGACTGCCCAGCATGAGGAGCAGAGGCTGAGGGAACTCTCCAAGAAGACTGCCCAGCATGAGGAGCAGAGGCTGAGGGAACTCTCCAAGAAGACTGCCCAGCATGAGGAGCAGAGGCTGAGGGAACTCTCCAAGAAGACTGCCCAGCATGAGGAGCAGAGGCTGAGGGAACTCTCCAAGAAGACTGCCCAGCATGAGGAGCAGAGGCTGAGGGAACTCTCCAAGAAGACTGTGCAGGAAACCTCCATCAGGTGTCAGGACATCTTTAAAGCACTGCCCACTGAGGAGCAGCAGGGGGCGCCACAGTCCATCAGAGCAGTGCTGACCTGCGGCGTGGCTGGAGTGGGGAAGACCTTCTCAGTCCTGAAGTTCTGTCTGGACTGGGCTCAGGGCTCAGAGAACCAGGAGCTGGAGCTGGTGGTGCCGCTGTCCTTCAGAGAGATGAACCTGGTGAAAGGGCAGCGCTACAGTCTGATGCAGCTCATACAAGTGTTCCATCCAGCGCTGGAAAAACAGGTGCTTTATCTTCTGCTTCAGTCCAGTTCACAGTGTTTACTTTCAAACATTTATTATAGTGTTTAACACAACTGAGAACTTCTCCCAGCCCTGAGCTGATGGCGTTTGAATCAGTAACTAATAAAACGTTATAAAAACACCTTCATTCCCTGGTGTCAAACTGATGTCACATCATCATCATGCTCAGAAACTGCTCTGCATTCATCATGTATGACTTGGTAACTGTCATGTTCTTGTGTCCACAGACTCTCTCTCCACACTCTCTGTCCGTCTCTAAACTCCTCTTCATCTTAGACGGCCTGGACGAGAGCAGACTGGATCTGGACTTTGACTGTGAGCTCATCTCTGAGGTCACACAGAGCTCAGACGTCAGTGTGCTGATAGTGAACCTCATCAGAGGCACTCTGCTTCCTACTGCCCTTATATGGATCACATCCAGACCAGCAGCAGCCAATCAGATCCCAGCACAGAGTGTGCACAGAGTCACAGAGGTCAGAGGCTTCATCACTGAGCGTCAGAAGGAGCAGTACTTCAGGAAGAGGTTCACAGATGAAGAGCAGTGTAAGACAGTCCTGTCCCACATCAGAAGCTCCAGCAGCCTCCACATCATGTGTCAGATCCCCATCTTCTGCTGGATCACCGCCACCGTCCTGGACCACATGTTGAGAACCGATCCAAGCGGAGCGCTGCCCCAGACTCTTAGCGACATGTACGCTGGCTTCCTATTGGTGCAGACCAACAGAAAGAGAAAATACCAACCGAGACCTGAGGCCCGTTCAGAGAAAAGCAGTTTTTGGTCTGGTCAGGTTCAGAAGCTGAAACAAGATCCAACAGTGATGTCGACAGAAGCAGACATCCTCCTGAAGCTGGGCAGACTGGCCTTTGAACATATGCTGCAAGGAAACATAATGTTCTACCAGGAAGACCTGGAGCAGGTGGGACTGGACCTGACCGAGGCCTCGGTCTACTCAGGACTCTGTACAGAGATCTTCAAACAAGAAAGTGTTGTCTTCAACCAATCTGTCTACAGCTTCGTCCACCTGAGTGTCCAGGAGTTTATGGCAGCGGTTTACCTGCTGCACTGCTTTGGAAGTGACATGCAAGTCGTTGAGAAGTTTCTCTGTGAAAAGACTCAGACAAAGTTAAGTGCAAGTGAGTTTCTCAGAAAGTCTCTTGATAAATCCCTGAGTGGTTCAAACGGTCGCCTGGACCTGTTTGTGCGCTTCCTTCATGGCCTCAGTCTGGACTCCAACCAGAGACTTTTAAAAGGTCTGCTGAGTCCAGTGGAACAGTCAGAAATCCACAAAGTCATTAAAAACCTCAAAGAGATGAGCTCAGAGGAGGAGTCTTCAGACAGAAGCATCATCATCTTCCACTGTCTGATGGAGATGAAGGACCAGTCTCTCCTGCAGCAGATCCAGCTTCTCCTGAAGTCTGGAAGGGACTCAGCAGAAGAACTGTCTGTGTTCCAGTGCTCTGCTCTGGCCTACATGCTGCAGATGTCAGACCAGGTCCTGGAGGAACTGGACCTACAGAAGTACAACACGTCTACAGAAGGCCGTAGGAGACTGATCCCTGCTGTGAGGAACTGCAGGAAGGCTCGGTCAGTCCTCACAAACTGCTTCAAGTCCTGATCAGACTCTAACATATTTAAATCTAACGTCTGTTTACAGGTTGTGTAACTGTGGACTCTCAGAGACCGACTGTGAAGTGGTGGCATCAGCGCTGAGTTCCAGCCCCTCCCTTCTCACTGAACTGGATCTGAGTCATAATAAACTGAGTGACTCAAGTGTGTCTGTGCTGTGTGCTGGACTGCGGAGTCCTCACTGTGAGCTCTCCTCTCTCAGGTGAGTGTCCTTCATTTAAACCTCAGGGATCCTCATGTTTGTGAGAGCTGTGTATCGTCCACATAACTGTGGGAGCAAGTTCCTCCTGATGACACAGAGGGAGCAGCACTGGTTAAAATGAACCATAATGTATTATTCACATCATTACAGTTTAGCACTAAACAGTGGTCTTGTTTATCAAGATGTATAGAGCTTGGAAGTGGGCGGAGCTTCAGGGTCTAGAAGTAAAATCCATCTTACTATGATTAAGGCTTAGAACGTTCTTTTAATAAGACACAGCTGTGAAGACAACATCAGGGACACTTTTCTGTTGTTGGACGCACAAACTATAGTCACTTTTTAAATGTGATTATTCACAATATAAGCCTTTAATATAAAGCCTCATGTGGTGTATGTAATTCTAGACTTAAATATATAAAAGTGTTTCATTCTTCATTACTATTATTCATTTCACTAAGTGGTGTTTCCATGAATGCATCACTGTTTTAAACATATAGTTTATTCTGTAAAAATGGGTCAGTAGTTGATCTGAGGCTTCTAGATTTAGGCCTGAATGTGTCCACAGCAGCTGTGGTCATGAACCTGAGCCGCTCTGTGGACTTCAGGACATTATTTAGAAGTGGTCGTTGGTTCGAATCCTGTCCCTGTGCTCTTGGACTCTTGTCGTTTCTCTGGTGTGTGACAATGGGTTTAATATCTTAAAGGAGACGTACTGTGCTTTGCTCTGATGTTTAATCTATGACACGTGTGGATCATTCTTATATATTTGGAACATGTTCAGTCTCAGAATATCAAAGCAACGAGCAGTGGAGTCTTTGCATGTGTGCCAAAATGCCTGCTGATCATCCACATGTCAGATTACAGGGAATACAGACGACTGGGTCTTTGTGTGTGATATGTGACATCATTATGAATCCTTTGTATTGTTATTGTTCATGTGTACCATCTAACTCAGACCACCTTTACCCTAACTTAACCATCGTCTGAGTCAATAATTCCCTTTGACTGACGTATCCAAAGTCGATGCAAGAGCGAGACAAGAAGATCTTCAACTTTTAACATCTGCATTTTATTATCTTACAATCAGAATACAGAATATTCAACAAAAAAAGTGCTCCTAAACTATGATGTCCCTCTCCTGGCCCTCGGCTGAACCTGACTGCCAATTCTCCCAGCAGTTTCTATCAAAGGGTCCGATGACGTCACAGATCTGGGACTCAGGTCTGGCCCCTGGTCCTCCTGGTCTGACCCGGTCTTCATCTCCACTGAGAAACAATTGCCCCCCATCCACTGGGGACGCCTGATGTGTTGGACTTTTGCCCTCAGTCGAGAGTGGAGAGAGGCATTTGTTTATTCTTGGAGTCAATAATTGTCTTGTTTTGTAAGCTGGTCATCTCTTATATGAGTCCGGAGTGCATATTCCCTTTGTCTGATGTGCAGCATTTTTTGTATATTCGTCAGTCCCATCTTTTGACCTACTATTAACCAATAGGTCACGATCTTTCAATATTCTCTGGGTGACCGGGACTGGGGAGCTTCCATCATCCTATTTCTCCTGGCTCGATATCTGTGAAGAGTTAATACAGGAAGACGAACAACACACAACCTCAATGAAACATTCCTTCAACTAAAACTCTTTGAGACGCACTGCTGCATACTTCTGATCCTTCTTCAACCTCGTCTGTAATTATGCTCAAAACTATTTCACATAATAGTTTAAACTATATTCTAATCTAATTTACCAATATGTTTGCATCCTTGCTTTTATTGAGCCATATTCTTAAACATATGTTTTTATCTAATAAATCTATCTATACTGGGTTTGCTGTCATAGACAGTGGCTCTGTGCCATTTTGTGGGCTTTGCCTCATTTTTTCCAAACACTTTTTTGTTGAACCAGGAAGATGCTGTCACCTTCTCTTCTCTCAGACCGTTTGGGATAAATGTACATCGTTAATATCAAATTTTGAATATCCGTACAGGACTAATCTTTTTAGCAGGGTTCTCTGGGGTTAGTCCCTATACAACGGTATTTTGAATTCTCAATCTGTTGCTGACTTCTTAAATTCTCAAAACTACCTAAAGATCTACTTTTGTGCATACCCAAAATTCATAAAATGCTTTTCAATGTTTTTTGAATCTGTGTTGGTTCTAATCGAATCTCAGTAATCAATCTCATTAGCTTTTTTGCATTGTCAAACATTTCAACTATGTTTGAACAAGTGAATTTGAACAGTATCTAATAAAACTGTGCATAAACTGTAATGAACTTTATCTACCTTTGAAGTAAAATACTTTTGGACATAAATATGAAGGAAATGTCCTTTTAAACCGTTGAATATTAGCCCTGGCTAAAAATATTCTCTATTTTTGAAAGCATCTAATCTATTTACTCTCTATTGTGACTCCAATCTTGGTTGTAGTTTGAGCCTAAGCGATATTCCGACTACTTTTTGAGTTCTGGATTGTAACAATAGCATTGGCAATAGAACGATTTTTTTTGGCCGGGATTCTTGTTCTGCAAAATCACCTAATTCTATGAGTGTTATCAGACAATTCCAAAAACAACACAGTCGTCTCGCAATATTTAAAGACATACATCAAAATCAAGTTGCCTGAAAGGGAATTTAACGATTTTAAAACGTTCCTACGATTATAAGGCTATGAAATTAATTATTTAATAAACAAAGCACATTCATATCGGCTTCTGGTCCCTGCTTATAACTTGTGTTAAAGAGAGTTGTCCCAAATCTTAATATGTGTAACACATCAGCTGGTTTGTATAAACAATAACAATTGACCTGTTCTCCAATGGAGCAGCTCAGAAGGCTGGCGTCAAAAAGCAATGTATACTTTGAGCTATTTTAGATTTACAAATTGTTTAAAGCCTGTCGTTCTAATGTCTGCATTTTAATACTACTCTCTATAACACATCTGCACTATTCCTCACAGATGTGAAACAGAAGCATTCTAAAATCTGACTCTATTTTGATTCCTTTTACTTTTAGTATATTAGAATAAATTGACATTATTGATACTTATTTTCACAATAGTAACTATTTTGATTATTCACTATCTAACTATTAATTACTATTGTTTTATGTCTGTCACTTCTACCTATAGCTCCTCCCTCGAATCCAATGACATTATAGCTCCAGACTATTTCATTCTATTCTATTATTATCTTTTATTATATGATCTATTAATCTTAAAGGTAGATCTGTGATGATATACGCGCTATTTTTCTCCTTTTGAATTTGCACAACACGCCCTTATGAATTTGCAACAACACTAAATTTTAGAATGACCCCCCTATGGGAACTATATAGAATTTATTTCATTTTGGCCAACTCCGAAAATTACTTTAATTTTCCACATTTTTTGCTTGTTTAGGCTGCCCTTTCTATTATTTATTTGTTTCTTGTAAATATATGTTTTACCACTTCTTTACGAATGAGTTAGAAGGTTAAGGGACCATGACCACCTCTGACAATACAATACTTACCCCTCTGTGGTCCGTGTGGTCCAAAGTAAAAACATGCATCTGTAAAGGTGTGTGTAGATTACTGTTCAATCCTGTTGCTCCCTCCCAGGATCGTCCTCAATTCATATTGTGGGCTTTGGTGCCAAAGTAGAGGCTTCATTTCCTTAAGTTCATACTACTGTCCATCCCTGAAGGCAGGTGCAGTTTATCTTTCATCTGAAAAACACACATTAGAACACAAGAAACGCCCACTTTTCCTCTCGTCGCATGGTGCGGACCTGTCAATCTATCCAATTGGGCAAAACATAACTGCATTGACAGACGTGTGTGTCCATCAGGCAGAGGCTGTAGCCAAATACAGACTTAACAATATGTATGTTTAATTTTACACTCCCCTAACTGTGAGTTACAAACCAAAGTTGTCCTCCTCCCAATGGACACCGCTTCACGCGGTTGGAGACCAATCACTGTCCGGCACAACAGTCCAAGGGAGGGGCTCCCCGGTACCTTCAGCAGGTATTTCATCACAAAGTACTTTCCGCAGAGTAACTTTTCTCAGAGTACTCATCCCAAGGTACCTCATTTTACTTTATATTATTTACACCTGTTTCAATAATGTCTTGTCATCTTTGATTCTCTAGTACTTACACCCAGTATGCTGTTGACAAAAATAAAATAATTATTCCATGATCACATTAAAAAACATTACAGAAAACCTTTTGTTATTCCATGATTCCGTTCAGCATTCCTCAGTTCACTCCACAACACACTCACAACACACTCCAACACCCCACGTAAGTATGGGTCCAGTTTTGTTAACTCATTCACTGCCCATGACGACAAAAGTCGTTCTAAGTTAGTATGACGCTCACTGCCCAAGACGACGTAGAACGACTTTTTCGTGTTTTTAACACCGGGAAGGCTGCAGTAATGTCTGGCGCACCTTGTTAATGGACGCACAACACTGATATATAATGCAAATGTACCTGTAATGATAAATCACCAACAGTAGGATGCAGTATGCACCACAGGAGAGGTCATAAAGTCAGTGGAGAGAAGGAGGAGGATGTGGGTCTTTGGAGAGCGTGTGCTGTAGCAGAGCGATGATAGCGTACTGTAGCATTGAGACGGATCAGATCTAGTTTAGCGATAGTTATAGCAAAGAGTGATGGCAAAAATGAATAGTTATAAGCATCAACACGCTTCAGAGATATGACTCGCGGATCAGAGAGTGAGGTCGAGAGGGGAAGAGGGGAGACCCCCCGGTGGAGGACCTGTATCTGCGCCAATATTTTGCGCGGCAAGGAGCAAAGCCACGAGCAGAGACACACAACACCTTCCGCCTCTCGCA